TCCGCGCCAGCGCGCGCGTGACCTAGTCCAGCGGCACTAGGGACCGAGCCCGGCCGCACCAGCCGTGCCCAGCGCCGTGCCTGGGCACCAGCTGGCCCGGCACGGGGCCGAGGCCGGTCCAGTCGAACCAGCACCGGATCCCCCGGTCCAGCCGAGTTGGCGGTCCAGCCAGCCAACGAACCGGCTGGTTCGACCGGCAGTTTGAGTCCGTTTTGATTCGTGACTTCTGGTCCGAGTCTCTTTACGGAATTTTAGTATTTTTTCGAGCCAGTCCAATCCAGTTTAATCGCGTAGATAAGTCTGAGCATTTTAGCATATAATTAATTATTCTGAGCATTATACTTAACATTATTTTGCTTAAATATTTATGTAGCCTAAGGAGAGTCGAGCCTCCGACCGCTACCCAGTATCAGCACTTGCATCAGATTCCGAGTTTTCAGGTGGGGGTCATGTACTAGATTCCACATCATAGATAATATTTGTACCATGGCAGAGGTATGTTTGAGACAGTTAGTATCCAGGTGAGGGCCGACCTAAGGGCTTAAATATCCCATCCGATGACCGGTGGGGGGCCGACCTGAGGGCCTTTATACTCCATCGGCGTGTGCACACGAGCGGCCGACCTAAGGGCAGAGGGTCTTTTGACCACAGGAAAGAAAGAAAAGAGAAGTTTACAGTTTCAGCTCTTATATATTTATGTTCATGAGACGTTAGCATAGATGATGTTTTATTCAGTACTGGTCTTTGCGGAGCATAGTGGTTTACTCACGCCCCCATTGTGTTTTTCAGGAGACGGAGTCGAGCGTGCCGGATGAGCACAGATGTGGCGAAGCGTGGTCATGAGAGTGGACATATTTTACGCACATTTTTATGTCCTAGTTTATGATCATGTATTTTATTCAGTTATGTATACATGTATTCTGTATTTCGGATGCTTCCGCTAGCAGACCAGACAATGCGAGACAGTTCAGACATTGCATGTTTAATTCCATTATCCACAGCGGATAGCTTGGTTGCATGTTTCATTTATGTCTGTGAGCAAGTTAAGTTAAGTTTTTATCTGTGACATCCCGCACAAGTTAGTAGTTTCGAAAACCAAGCTCGCACGACCTTTTGAAAATAAAAAGAAAAATTTTACTCTGATTTTTTAAAAGCTACTAAGGCGGGGTGCGACATAGGCAATGGAAATTTGTACTGAGAATATTGTTTTTGAGTGTAGTAGATGGTTGGTGTTGATTGACTATTATAAGGTACTAGGCGCCTCATTTATATGTGGAAAAAATAAAATACAACGATGACAGTGTGTCATCTTAGGAAAAAGTAAAATATAACGATGGCATTGTATCATCTTAGAGGCTAGCTAGGTGGTTGACATGCATGGTCATGCAAAAATCTGGATTTTGAGAACGGGATATGCATTTCGGCTTTTCATGACGGGGCCATTTGGGTGGTTGCTTTGTCGATTCCATTGTCTAACGGGACTAGTTAGGCGGTCGTTTTACTGGTTCCATTGTCAGATGTCATTCATACCCTGCAAAGAGATCGACAGCAGTCTGCCGATGGATCGGCAATTACTTTAAGCATGAGATCAGCACGGAGCATAGCCTTTTGGGCCGGTCTCGCTTATCTTTTGGGTGGTATTTTATGTCATGATTCTTGCTTACCCTTGATGGGCTTAATTTTGAAAATGTGTATAACAAAAGGGGCCCCCAAGTTTCCGTATCATCAAGGGGATCACTAGGTCGCCGAGGGGTCCTGGAAGTTGTATGCTAGTTTTCCTTGGGGAGAGACAAGTGATATTAGGTCGACAATGGGCGCCCATTTTCGATCGTTAAAGAGCAATATATCTAGCAGGAGTGGACAAAACCAATGAACAATTAAGACTTCTTTAATGAGAACATAGAATGATAATGTCATTTGATGAGCATGTTTCTTCGTGGGACAGGTGGCAGCATTCAGAAGTGGCAACGTGTGCACTTTTGCAAGAATCGATGTACGTTGTCCAACTTGTCGATTACTTTTTGTAGTGAGTCTATAAATAGGGGCTTAGATTTTTTCTCCTTCTGGACTTTTATATCTTCAATTTCTTTAAGCCAAGGGTTTTCTGAGGGGAGGTATTCATACTCGACCAAGTGAATTTCAGTGCTTTGTTCCTTTTTTCTTTGTTTCTTTCTAGTCATATTATGTCAGAGAGTAGCCAAAATTTCGTCATGGAAGTGGTAGATCCAGCGGTGAGGGGCGATCGAGCTAGTCAGATAAGAGAGATGATCGTGGCAAAAAATGGGATCCAAGAGATTCAAGCATGGATAGGAATAATTTGTAGGGCTGAGCCTGAGGGTTATTGGAGACGACCTCCTTTGGAAGATTCGAATAGATCCGGTGAGATGGAGATTTATCAAAAGAAAAGTATCTTGAAAAATGTCGATGTATCAAATTGAGTCAAAATTTGAGGGTGCAATCGTCGGTGTATCAAATTGATCAGACTTGTAAGATGTGTGGGGAGGAGCCAGAGACTCAAGAACACTTGTTCCTTCATTGCAAAAGAGAAAATCTCATATGGAAACTATCACCAGTTTCTTAGGAAGGTATTCAGCAAGATACATTTTTCTTTAAACAGTGGTGGCCAAAAAGTTTGCTCAATCAATAACTCACCAACTTCTGATGCAAGGAATTTGTGAGTCTTTTCTAACATTTGGAGAACTGAACAGGACACAATCAACTTAGCCATCAAGGATTGGCGGGAATTTCTTGTTGTAAATAACTCCGTCTCTTAGTTTTTCTCTTGTTTAGTTGGTTCTTGTTGTTTATTTTGCTTAGTGTTTTGAAGATTAACTAGGTCCGGTGGTGACAGCGGTTAGTCTTTTTTGCTAGCCTCTTGGCCTTCTGGGTCCTGTGGTGATAAGAGTAAGTGTCAACCCCCATACTCTTAGTGTTAGCTAGCCGGGGATGTTGTTCTCGTTGCTTTTAGTGGGTTCTCTTACCTTAGTGTGTTTTCTTGTATTAGGGCTAGTTAGCCCTCGACTGTACATTACGTTTGAGTAATATATCTTGTCGTTTGATGAAAAAAAAGAAGATAAACCTACTAAAAATATAATGTCACTCAGTATCAAATAATCACACGTATGCCTTAATCAAATTTAAAAGTAGATTTGCTAGAAGGAGGTAATAAATTCAGATTTACTCGGTAATAGAAATTGACCATAATATTATAAAGCGTTAAAATTTAGAAAAATGATACATTGTCAACCTAGTATACAACTAGGTTGACAACACAAGTGAAAAAATTCGCAAAAATAAAAATAAAAAAATACACAAGTGAATGTTTTTACTTGTGCTGTCAACCTAATTGTACACCAGATTGGCAATGTAGCATTTCCTCAAAGTTTATTCGGAAATACAAAACTAATGTTTAATCGTTAACAAAAATGCGTTATGTATTAATAGTAACTAAAAATGAGGCCAAAGGGCATTAATTGGTGGATAACTAGACAAATTCCAACACAGTGATGTTTACATAACCAAATTAATCTACAGGCAATGCCCCAATTCCCCAAAATTCTGACCGTTATTTTTTCCTCCCAAAAATCCACCTCCTATTACTCGAACTCTTGTTCACAACACCATCAAAAACTCCTTTCACTAGTCGAAAAATGCTCGTCCATGAGCCACCTCAAAGCCCTCCACGCCCAATTCATCCTACGTGGCCTCGCCCACGACCCCACCTCTCTCAGCCGCCTCATTTCCTTTTGCGGCCTATCTCCTTCCGGAGACCTGCAGTATGCACATAACCTGTTCGACAAATTTCCCCACCCAAACCGGCACATGTACAATACCTTGATAAGGGCTTGCTCAAATGGAAGATACTCGGATAAGGCCATTTTTATTTACCGTAAAATGGTCTGTAGTGGGATTCACCCAAATGAGTTTACTTTTCCTTTTGTTCTGAAAGCGTGCGCGGCTTTGAAGGCATATGCAGATGGTATTTCGGCACATTTGCATGCTGTGAAGCTTGGCTTTCATGATTCTTATGTGGTCGTGCAGAATGGGCTTATAAATTTTTACGTCGGCTGTGGGAAGGTCGAGCATGCACGTAAAGTGTTTGGCCAAGTTGAGTTCAGGACTTTGGTCACGTGGAACTCGATGATCGGTGGTTATGCGAAGGTGGGTTCTTGGAAAGATGCATTTTTTATTTTTCGTGGGATGTGGAAAGACGGTGTGCAGCCTGATGGTCATACATTTGTCAGTTTGCTCTCGTTGTGTTCGAGAATTTACGATGTGAATTTCGGGAGGTACGTGCACTGGTGTATTGTAGTTAACGGGGTTTTTCCTGACGTGTTTGTGCAAAATGCACTGCTGGATATGTACGCCAAATGCGGGCATTTGGAGATGGCCGAGGCAGTTTTTGCACGCATGGTAGATAAAAACGTAGTTTCTTGGACTTCCATGATTAGCGCGTACGCCAAGCACGGATTGGTCGAATTAGCCGAGAAGATTTTTGAGCGAATGCCTGTTAAAAACACGGTTTCGTGGAATTCTATGATCTCGTGTTACCTCCAAAACGGCTATTATAACGAATCTCTAGATTTGTTTTACAAAATGTGTGATTCTCGTGTGGTTCCAGATGAGACCACGCTAGTTAGTGCTCTTTCGGCTTGCGGTCACGTTGGCGATTTAGTCTCAGGAAAGAAATTGCACGATTATTTGCGTGACAATAGCATTCAATTTACTGTTACTCTCTGTAATTCTCTGGTGGACATGTATGCCAAGTGTGGCTCGGCAGAATTAGCTCTGGATGTCTTTCGTGGCATGCAGGGGAAGAATATTATTTCTTGGAACATTATAATTAATGCCCTTGCTTTACACGGTTTCGGGTACCAAGTAATCGGGCTTTTTCAAGAGATGGAATCTGGTGGGCCAAGGCCCGATTCACTCACCTTCCTGGGCTTGCTTTCCGCCTGCTGTCATTGTGGGCTTGTTGAAATCGGGCGATATTATTTCACTAAAGTGGGCCATGTATATAAAATTCCTTATAATGTCGAGCATTATGCATGCATGATTGACATGCTTGGTCGAGGGGGATTTTTGAACGAGGCTTTAGAGCTTGTCGGGAAAATGGAAATGAGGGCTGATGTGGTTATATGGGGTACTCTGCTTGGGGCGTGTAAAATTCACCAAAATGTGGAAATAGCAAAAGTTGTACTAAAGCAAGTGTTGGAATTGGAAAGTGGGGGCACTGGGGGTTTGTACGTGCTCATGTCGAATATATTTAGCGAGGCTCGAAAATGGGATGAGGTGAAGAAGATGAGGAAGTTGATGAATGACCGTTTTGCCCGGAAGATGGATGCTGTTAGTTCTATCAATGTCGATGGCTGCATGAATAGCTTCATAGCCCATGACAAGAAAAATGAAGCTTCTAATCATATTTACTTGATGCTCGACCAAATGAAGGATCAGTTCGAGTGCGTGAATGACTTGTTTGGCCCTGGTGACGAATTTATTGGGTGCTTTTGAGATTTATAGCTAAGGAATTTAGGATGGGTAGAAATTTGTATGTGGACAGACGATTCTACTTGCAAACCGAAGGAATTGTCATATATTGGAAATTTATTTTCTTGACTAAGTTACTTGAAGAGAGACTTCTTTCATCTCCATTTATCTGGAACTCCCATGTAGATGAGCATGCAACTTTGAATGAAAAAGCAGGAAAAACATTATTTGTGATAGTGGCATGAGATATCTCGTATTCGGCTCACGACCTCCAATATCATGAGATCTTGTCTATCTCGTAATCTCGCATTTTTGAATCATGGCCAGACTCAGCCCCTACTACTACTGTGTCATCTATTTCTGCATTTAATGGGATTTGAGAAATAAATATTGGTTTGATCGTGTGATGCTGGATAATCATGTTTCATGTGAAAGCATTGTTAGAATTTAGTGGACCTTATAACACTAACTGAAGTGAACTGTACATATGAGTTGTTTGTGTTTTTAAGTGTAAACGGTCTTTTGGCATATGATATCCCACAGACNTATTGTTGATATTTTTTTATTTTTTTATTTTTTTATTTACTTATTTATTTATTTTGGGTCTGTATTGTTGAAACTTGATACCGACGTAAATGGATTAACAAAACCACAAAAAGTAGCAAGAAAATAGAGTAAAGAGATTAGGTGGCCATCTTATTGAGTTAAACAAAACGAGTCACTCGTAACTTAACATCGGTCAGCTCGTTAAGGCTCGAGGTTGGCTCGACTCATATGATATACAGGCTATCACATGCTCATTTAAAGCTCAATAAGGCTTGAAAAGATTATTGTTTTTTATAATTTACTATAGTTCATCTCGTTAAAGATCGAGTTTGCCTCGTTAATATTGTAAATGAGTCGAGCTTGAGATTGATTACTAGTTTGTTAAGGGCTCGGACTCGCCAACTTGTTTACACCTATCACTAAACAACAGTTGATCGAACTATAAAAATTTAAAATTGGTGGATTTCACTCTATGGTTGAGTGTAGTGTATGCACCAAGTTGCAAACAATTGATCAACACATGCCCACGTGGGTATGTATGTGCGCGCTTGTAATCCAACAATTAGAAAGCCGGTGTGTGCACTGCACACATTTGCAGAATCGAATTACCATACAAATCATATTCTTTCGACAAAATCAGCTTTGATTGACCTAAAAGTAAACGTGTCATCGAAGAGATTAATACTTACGAGTTATTTTTCTGGTCAAAATTAATTTTAAATAGATTTTATTTTTCATTTTTTTATTATCTCAAATATCCATATCATTAGTTAATCAGTTTATTTCCTTTTTAAATTTTTTTAGTTAAATTTATATCTTTTTCATATGTTTTAATGTTGATTCTTTTCTTTTTACAAAAAAATTGATAGTTTTTTTTTTAATTGTTATCATTTTTATATATAAAATATCAAATCAATTATCTTCTCATGATATTTTATTCGCCACCTATTAATATTCATAAAATATAAAATAATTATTTTTATCCCTGAAAATCAACACAAAAAATGGAGAAAACCGCATTTTTGTAAATAGGAAATGGTAGGAAGGGATACTTACATATTAACTAAAACATTATAATATTATACACCATTAAAACTAAATAAATATGAATATATATTAAACAATTTTATTTTGTTTAATTTAATTATGTGATATTCTCCTGCATCTAAATTCAAAAATACACCGATTGTGCAGCCCAGCTCCGTTGGTAGCCCACCATTACCATTGGTCGTTTTCTTTTTTCTTTTCAACGAATCTTCTGCCATTCCCATCACAGGAAATCTCCTCCAAGAATCTCACAACTGTCCTCGCCCTCAAAATATCCGTTTAATTATTGCTTTCTGCACATTGGATTTACATTTTCTTCCCTTAACCCTTCATCCGCCCCTCAATTTGCCGCTCAATCATATCTCTGTAAGTTCCAACCGAGCTCTAGTTACATTTTTATCTGTATTGCGCATCTGGGTTTTATNATATCAGTTGGGTAAATGTGGGATCTTCAATTTCGAAGAATTGATATATTTTCTGGGTTTTCTTTATTTCCATTTTGTGTTATGTGTGCGCGCAATCTGAGTTTTGATTAATTTTGCTTTTGAACAATATATTTGATATGCAGCAAAGTGTGTATAATAAACTCAGCTTTCAATTTTCATGGATAAAGTTTTCTCATCCCTAGTGCTTTAGACCTTAGTCTTGATTCATGCTGATGCTCCCAAGTCTGTTGGGTTTCCCTTTGTTTGATGTTTGCTTTTGTCTTCCAGGCAAAGATATGATGTGGTAACTAGGTAAAACTAGCTTTGACTTGGAGAACAGAAGTGCATTAAGAGATCATCACAAGAATGGTGTTTTGGGAAGGATATGTAAGTGATGAGTCCATGGGGACTTTTGCCCCACTAGTTGTGTACTGGTTGTATGCCGGGTTTTATCAGCTACTCCCTCCTCTAGATAATTACCGGCTGCATACAAAAACCGAAGAAAATGAGAAAAATGTAGTGCCTTTAGGATCAGTGATCAGAGGTGTTCTTCTTCAACAGTTTGTTCAGGCCGTAGTTGCAGAATTGCTGTTCTTGGTAAATGCACTAATTTTTATTTTTTTTAACCCTTTTGGAAATCCTTTTTAGGTATAGTATTGATAGATAATTTAATGAATGTCTTACTTTGGCGTGCATATGATTATAAGCTTTAAGATATTCACAAACACAATCTTATGGATGCAGAAGTGATAGTTTCTATAGAGACTGAGAAATTTTGTTCTTGAACCCTTTTCTATTGCAAGTTTACTGAATATCTTCAATGCCTTTGTCCATTGCAAATGGAGCTGGAAGAGTCATTGTTGACAATTCTCCTGGCATAGTGCTAATGATGGACTAGATCAAAATGGCTCAATTAAATTCTAGTGCTTCTTCTATTAGTGAAGTTTCTATTAGTGAAGTTTCTAGAAGAAAAAATATATCAAACGGCGTAATGCATCTTGGGTCGCTACGGAAACAGCCTCCTTGTATAATTACAAGGGTAAGGTCTGCGTACAACTGACCCCCCAGACCCCAACCTGTTGGGAATATACTGGGTATGCTGTTGTTGTTGTTGTTGTTGTTGAGATTATGATTTGAGTCTTTGTTAAGTTTTACCTAACGAGGTGCATCAATATGTAACAAAATATGATTTAGAATGCACATTGCTGTTGCTAAAATCTGTTTCTTTTCCTTTCACTTCCTTATTTAGTCAATAGCATAGCACAAATATGTTATGTATTAGTACCAAATATCAGAATTACCGTATCTTCTTTTCCTTATTCAGAACTTAACCATTTTATGCTTAGTGTTACAGGTGACTTCTAATCCGAGTTCTCCCAGTCAAACTGTCCAACCCTCTCTCCCCATTCTATTTCTGCAATTCATAGTTGCCATGCTGGTGATGGACACGTGGCAGTACTTTGTGCATCGATACATGCACCAAAACAAATTTTTATACAAACACATCCACTCACAGCACCACAGATTAGTCGTCCCTTATGCCATTGGGGCACTTTACAATCACCCTTTGGAAGGCCTTTTACTCGACACGTTTGGCGGTGCTATTTCCTTTTTGATATCTGGGATGACTGCACGAACAGCCGTTTTCTTCTTTTGCTTTGCTGTAATCAAGACTGTTGATGACCACTGTGGGCTATGGCTGCCTGGTAATATCTTCCATTTATTTTTTCAAAACAACACAGCTTATCACGACGTGCATCATCAGCTTCAGGGTTTGAAATTCAACTACTCTCAGCCGTTTTTTCCGATATGGGACAAACTGCTCGGGACATATGCTCCGTATACGCTTGTAAAACGGGCAGAGGGAGGTTTTGAGGCTAGGCTGAAAAAAGATTGACAATGTTTTTTAATAATTCTTTTTTTTTCCTTTTCTTGTCGTTGTGCTGCTTCTGAGGCAAATCAGTTAGGTTTTTCATTAGAAGCTCTGTATGAAGGAGAGTTGAAATATGTGGCTTCTGTTTGAATTGTCTATTTCTTGTCCCAAGTTGTTACCACTGCTTATTTGCCATGATTGTTTTAGACTAACTGGCTAAGGTTTGTTGATTAAGTGAGCATGTATTTGTTCTGTAGTATTAATATTGTGATTTCTAAAACACCCTGATAAGATTACATTCTTGCTTTGGTGAAACTAGTTGAGTGTATGATATTTGGGGCTTAATCACGTCGATGGTTTTGTATGCAAACTTATGAAGCTTTACTCTATTTCTCTAGTGGGATATTCTTTGGTGGTTGTTTTCCCATGATAAATTTGCTATGCATATTCAATGTCTTACCAGTGTTGAGGAAACCAGATTGTACCTGCCCATTGTTGATGAACAATATACTACTTTTTAAGTTCAAGTGAATGCATAATGGAGCCTCATTTAATGCAATTAGGCTATGTTTCTAGCCTTGATTTTACCTTAGCCAATTTTTGCTATCCCCTTTTGTTTGTGGTATGTTTATCTTTGAAAGAAGTAGTTAAGATCAAAATATTTGAGGTTGTAATATCCATGTAGAGCCGGGGCGAATGTACTTCTTTTTCTTGTATCTATATAACTTTAATATGAGTGCAAGAACATTATTTTCTCTAGGCAATTCGTTTTGGAGTTTGTATGCAAATAGCGAATGTGCTTCTTGTGCTTGACGATCACGAATACAAACTAAAAAAGAAGTTGAAATACACGGTATTCCAACGATGTCGTGTCCTTATACCGGCCATTCAATGCCTTGAAGGATGTATTAGGATGGAAGCATTTGAAGCTGAGGATATAAATAAAGTTCATCATGTCCAGTGAACTTGTTTGGATTGCAAGGCAGTGTCAGTCTCATATTCAATGGATCTCAAATATAGGATCATCTTAGAACTATGAAACTATACTAAAAGAGTTTGCAATGAAACATCATTTTGGAGGATGGGTATGGACTCTATGAGCCCGTGGGCCTCATCAAGTCTTCTGGCCCGGACAAAAATGCATTTATGCTTATTTCAACCCTATTGAGCTACATGGACTCGAAGATTCTCATGTCCTCGTCCAACATTCTCGCTTGCTTGAACTAGCATAGTACAACCTGACAGAAACTGGGGGAAAATGGGTGCTGACCCACTACCATGAAGGACACCATGAAAGAAGGGAAAAGCCCATATGAAGCCCATATGGGGTTCCATCCCAAAACCAATTGGTAGAAGGAGGAGTAGCCCATTAGTCTTATAAGGTGGGTCTATTTTTCATATATGAACGAGTGGGACAACTCACAAGTGATATTCTAACACGCCCCTCACTTGTGAGTCCTTCGAAAGCCCAAGCCCAACTGGGCTGGGTGCCCTAAGCCCTACTACAAACAGGCTCCCATAAACGGGTACGTGGGGGATAAACAATGGGTACGTCATCAGACGGTCCAAGATAAACCGGCTCTGATACCATGACAGAAACTGGGGGAAATGGGTGCTGGCCCACTACCATGAAGGACACCATGAAAGAAGGGAAAAAACTCATATGAAGCCTAAATGGGGTTCCATCCCAAAACCAATTAGTGGAAGGAGGAGTAGCCCATTAGTCTTATAAGGTGGGTCTATTTTCCATATATGAACGATGTGGGACAACTCACAAGTGATATTCTAACACAACCAAGTGGGAGGCCACATTCGGCATGGGCCCGTTCGGACCTTCAAACATGTTACAAAAGAATTGGAGGGCCTTGAGCCCGTTGATGTCCATAGCGAAGCCCATGATCATGATCTTTCAGGTGATTATATATATGGGAAATTTTTACTTATCCTACATGAAATTGAAAATTTTATAAATTTACCATCCATTAAGAAGTAATTGTGTCTCTACCTAATTGTCAAGATTTAATTACATTTATGCCTAAAATTCAGTTACCAAAAGAGTGGACTCCATTCACTTTCTGTTTCCATGATTTCCG